TTACATTACATTACATTACATTATATCATATAATTACCTTTAAGCCTGGCATGCTGTGAAACAACTGCCCTGTCGATATTCTCCCAGTTTGGGATATAAGTCGGATACCTGAAACGGCAAGTATACAGACAATCAAACACACTAAAACATGAATCTAAACATTTTAAATACTGCGAAGTTTGTTGCTGTTACTCTTATCTCAAGAGTTTCCGATCCACTCAAAAATCACGTGTCTGTTGATAGGTTATTGACCTTTCCTTTTCTGAATAAAGTGTCACAGAGCACTTCTCAATCCGGCAGGTGGTTCTCTATCTTAGTAATTCTACGAAAAAGCGGAACCGGAACCGTCATCTTCATCCAGACTGCTGTGCATTATGGGTTACTTACCCTAGCTTCGAATTGCTATCAATTTTATATCAAAGTTGAATATTTTTGAATTTACTCTCACGCACGCACCGGGGGGGGGGGGCTACTTGCATAGAAGTGCAATACGGGTATGTGCCGCCTGACTGGGGTGTCATTTCACGTTACTTTGTTTAGAAGTGAGTGGTTTGGTTTAGAAGTGTGTAGTAGCATTTATTTACTTTTTCACAGGTCCTTATATTCAAAGCCAAAAAGGCTGATTAAATGCATTGCCCGGATGCGCTCACTGGTTGCGAAAGTTGTGAGCTGGGTGGGGTTTTTTTTTCGCTGAAAACACTTGTGTTTGGAAGTGGGTATATAAATAGAAAAACATGGTTTAGAAGTGGGTATGGTTTACGAGAGGTGGGCTTCACACCCTTACCCACTTAATGTGGAAGTAGCCCCCCGCACTAACAGCATGTTTTTGTTTTACATCCACGGCGTCCCCTAAACGCGCAGTCACATGCCCTACCTTGTATGTCCCTCGACGTGGTCTCCAAACTCGATTTGTGCAAGTAATGACGTCAGTATAATGACCTGATGACGATTTATTTGGGTAAACCGACCTTCCATCAACTGTGATTTCAGTTGTAGATAATATTGATATCTGAAAAAAAAAAATGATGATCGAGACACGCGGATGTAATGTTTTATCGTTCTTTACCAGACTATTTTGCGACGCGCAACTTTACAAATAATTAAGCCACGTAAGGGCGGAATGTCAGAAGTTGTGTGAACAAGCTGTTTGCTTGATAATTGTCAGACTAAACAAGACAATATTAAATCACTACGCAGCCAAGCACCACGGAAGGTATGAATTTTTCATCATGTGTTCTGATTTTTTTTCGTAAGCATACATATATAGAAATAATTTGTATAAAAAACACAGCGCAAAGTGGAATACTGCCGAAAGGTACGGATAAAAAAAGATATACGATTGCTAACTTGAAAAGAAAATTACCTCGTTTCTTCCTGTATAATGTGTTCTGGGTTAACAAAGTATTTGACCAGAAATTGCATTCGATATGGCGGCAAATTTGGAAGCTGATCTCGCAGTGGATTCCGTAGATTGAGCCACAGTATGTCTCCCTTTTTACCGGTATACCGCAAACCAAAGTATTCTTTCTCAACTATTCCAAGTCTCTGACAAATCTGGAATGAATAAGATATGTCAATTGTTAATTGAGGGTCACATGTTACCATGTAATCAGTCACGTGATGCGGCACAGATCAAATAACTTCCGAGTCATTCTTGTCACGCTATTATGTTCCATTCCTACATAGAGGGCGTCTCAATGATTAGATTAAAATATTATATTTAAAAGTTATTTAACTTTTCATGCCAATGTCGTGCGGACATGCGTTCTTCTGTATTGTGACTAATGTGTTAAAAACTCATAAATGCTTTCACGTATAATTAAAAACCTGAAAAAATACATTTTTTGAACAAAAGATTTGCAGATTTGGAATTAAACCTTCTTAATTGACATAGTGAAGACGTTAATTTGACTTTTGCTCTACGATGTTTTAGATTGACACTTCCTATAGCTACGTCATCTTCACTTGCACTACTGCATACTACTACCGGCATTCCAGGTACATTGAATCGTGTCCGAATGTATACAGCCCGGGGCATTCCCGTCAGATACTCGAGAGTCTATTATGTCTAATTGTCTCTTACCGCGACCCCATAAATAATGATACGTATCATGTTTCGGAACGTTGGGGGCGTGTATAATTAAACCCGATCTGAGCCCCTCCCGTCGACCGATCCAAATAAAATGACCCTCACACTATAACACTGATGTGGAGGCTAAATGTGATTTAAATTTAATTTTATGACGTTCATGGTCGAAGTGTAAATATTTACAATTATACTACCATTTAATAGCATTCTCCATTGAGTTCTGGACAATGTCGATAACAGAAAATTTCGGGAAATGATTGACAGATATAAAACCAACCAGAATTTCTTCCACAAATTAAACATCCTTACAAGACGCTTACCAGTGAATATGGTGAACATATATCAAAAGTGAAATTAAATGCCAGTGACTCAATATAAATGTATTTACAAGACGTAGATTTCTTTGTGTTTATGTAATCTTATCACGTAAACTGCACGACTTTTACTCACAGTGCCTTTGTTATAATTCCACGAAGCGCCTAAGTACGGCAAACACCACAATAATAGGAACGGAGACAATCGGTGACTATTAAATCCGAGTATTACACAAACGATGATATAACAGCGAACAAAAACATTCTATATTTGGTAGCGATCTTCCCATTGTGTGAAATATTACTCATACTACTATACTATACTATACAATATAATACCCCCCCCCCGTGACGTTGTTTTTTCCTTTGTTCTATAATTGTACACTTACCGTGTCAAGGCATTTTTCTCCGAGAGCTCTGGGTGCAACAACAATATCTTCAACGACGGCGTCTTGACGTTTAACAAAGCACCACATTACGAATATGCTGGTTGTCTCCTAAGAAAAATAGGATGCGCTGGAAGTTAGAAAAAAAACGAAATACTCTCTCTAGGATCTGTACACGTCACCTACGCACGATAGTCTGTGTTAATGTGATGATATTAACACACGTCAGATCGCATTTGATTTATTGTAAAAATGAAACTTGAGTTCGGGTTTAATAATTATTGAATACAAGTTAATAAATAACCTTTCAACCTGGCATTTATGACTTTCGATTAAATTGAACATATATACGCATACCATGCTTGATGTTCTACCAGATGCCTCTTAAATTTAACTGCAAATTTGTCGAAGAATAAATATGATTTGGTTCCACATGCGGCATCAAGACTTACTAGATAATCTAAAATGTCATTAAATTCGAAATGATATTAATAAATTCGAGTTCGATGAGAATCTTGTACCACCCAATATTGTTGAACTTTGGAACGGTAAAATATATATCGAATAGTCGTAATTTTATATTTACGATGACTCACCGCGTTCTCGGTCCCGCCTCCTGTGAGAACAAGGTAATATTCTATCTAACAACTGGGCTGCAGTAGTTCAACTTGAACTTTCTGTAACCCAGGCTATCAAAGGAAGGAGCCTGTGCACTGTATTTGGTTTTGCCTGCTATATATCAGCTCCGGGCATCAGGTACAGCTTGTATATACCAGCATTGATCGCACACATATACTCACCTGGTACGTATAGCTCGTCAAGTCTTCGTTACAGACGAACTTGGGCTCGTACGACAGCCTTACGTGTGCGTGTATATACTATGTCAAATGTCAACTAAACAATAAGTTACTTATAAACTACCAACACCCAAACACACACACTGACAAACCTGCTTAGTACTCGACGGGTTATATATATATATACACACAGCGGTGACCTCAGTGATTTGATTTGAATGGCTTGCTGGGGGTTGTTGATGACCAGTTTGCTGAGAAGCGCTGAATTAAATCATGCATCACGTATGTGTGATATTCCTTCAACAGGAAGTCTTAGTAGAAAAGCTGGTGTCGAGTTCTCATCACCGGAAGTTGATAAATATTTATTTCATTGAAAATGAAAGTTTCCAGTTTACTAAGAATTTTGTGATAATCTATTGCCTATTGTTCGATTTTCTACAGGTGAATGGTA